AATTTCAGCTCAATCAGACCACAAACGAATGAGATATCACAGAATCTTCAGACCCTACTCCTCCCATTCTTCACCTACGAATTTTCTGGTTTTGGTGGCTGGTCTCTCCTTTCTTTCTACTCTACAGAAATGGTCTCCTCTCACACTCAAATGGCAGCTAAGCATACTACAAAAAGGAACCCTAGGTGTGCATTCCTTATTGGGCTGGACATTTGGCCTTTTAATTGGTAAAGGCCCAGCAATTTTGTACTGCTGTATAAGCAGTCGGTAGAATCTCGGAACGAGAAAAAGATGAGAAAATATAATGAAAGCCCAATATATGCCTAACAAGTCAAAATTAGACCAAAAATATTAAAGTTAAGTTATATGTAGATAAGAGAACAAAGTTCAAATTGTTTGGACAATTTAGTGTAAAAAAATGTATGGAAGTAAAATTGATGGTGTTGTCAGAATTTTACGTAGTAGTGAGTTCAATTTTAAATAAATCGTATCTCACTCATTTCTTAATCAAATAGAGTGTGTGAGGTATCAAAATGAACCTTAGGATGTCTAGTTTCTTGTCCTAAAATATGAGAATTTTATGAGCTCACGTTAAAGTTTTCAAAACAAAATCAGTGGGCATTGTTCATTCCCGTTATAGTTATTACAGTAAGCAACAGTGAGTTTGAAAAATTCATATCTTCTTCGTTACTTAACGAAACGAGACGATTCTTGTGCCAAATTAAAGATTAAGATGTCTAGTATTTTTTGTAAAAATTAAAGAATAAGCTGGGAAGTATATCATTCCAGAATAATTAAACAGTCTGCGACCCTGTCAAGTGACGTTGGATTTTCAGTTTACTACTTACGGCGGACGTAACTTGGGTTGTACTTGTCAGAATAAGGCTTATAATATATCATTGGAAAGCTTGTGACACGCAGATTATGATGGTTAAGTATAAAGATATTAGAAAAATTCTGGTAAGATGAGCATGAATTGGTATTGTGATACATCTCAAAGTTACTACTCTTGTATTTAACTAGTTTCAAAAGTTACTAGTTTTATTGGTGATAAATAAATTAAATAGAAATCTGATTGCCTTCTTTTTGATTCATGATCAGCCATGTAGAGCCATGTGGAGTGGGACTTAGTGTCTTCATTGTTTATCTAAGTTGGTCCCTCCATTAATTATCAAAGTTTTGTCTTCTCCATTAATTATCAAAGTTTTGTCTTCTCCATTAATTATATAACTTTGTCTTCTTTTCTTTTACTCATGTGGACTTGTCTCATTTTACTTTAGTTGGTCCCTCCATTAATTATCAAAGTTTTGTCTTCTCCATTAATTATTATAACTTTATTTTCTTCTCTTTTACTTATGTGGACTTGTCTCATTTTCATTTAGTTAGTGATCAGACTAATAAGTGTAAGTGGGAGGAATCAATTGAAAGAGAATTATATAGTGGTTGAGAAAGTGGACAAAGTGGATGAAAGCAAATTAGGCAATTCAGTAGTCATTTCTTCACTTATTTGGTCGATAATTTCTCTTCTTGATATCAAACCTCTTCACATTTAATTCTTCTAAAAACATGACAGCCTTAAGGGAATTAAGAAAAACTATTAAGTGTATTCTTGTTTCTAAAATTGGAGTTTCAAACTTTTCTCTAACTTTTCTCTAAAATCTTTCCTCCAAAACCTCTCCAAATCACCAATTTTTCTTCACAAAACTTGTTCTCCCCACTCTCTTTTTCACAACCATACCATTTTCATGGTGTGAAGCTTACTGTGCCATGGCTTTGAAGGTTCAAGGAGTTATGAAGTTGTGTTCTTGAGTTCTCTTAAAGAGCATCACTTGTGTGCTTGATTCTCTTGAGTTTTGTGTAAGTTTCCTAAACTTTTCTTGAAAATTTTTATCTTTCTCTCATGTGTTCTTGAGCTCTAACTCTTGAGCATATTTTTGAAGGTGTGTTCTTGTTTAAAGGATCATCCTTGTTGGTAAAAAGTGAAGTTTGGAGCTAAAAGTGTGAGTTTTGAACCAAGAAATGGTTAATTGATGTTTAAAGGCACATTCTTTGGATTCTTGTATGGATTTCATGAAAAAGGATAAACTTGAACCCTAAAATAGACACATGATTATTCTGACCTCTTGAGTATAAGGTGGAGTACTTGTGTTAAAAATAAGGTAATTATGGATTAGTGGGTTAAATAAGTGTTGGGGCTAATTAACTAATAAAAGGAAAAAGAAACAAGCTTAAAAATCTTAATTTACACCCTAACTTTGGAGGGTGATATCTCTGTCATCCCTTGGTCAAATGAGGCTCATAATACCTCATTTAAAATCTGGAGATGTCATTAATATTGTCCTAAAATTTTAGAGTAATATATGATGTGGTTTATTCACAAAGTGAATTTGAGTCCAGACTGCCCGAACTCACGTAGTGCAGGGACAATTCCAAAGTTTCAACTTCTAAAATTCATATCTCTCTCATTACTTACTCAAATTAAGCTTTTGATACTTAGAATTAAAGCTATAGGTGTCTACTACAACATATTAAAATTTGAGAGAAATCAGACTTCTGTAACGCTCACAGAGACTACAACCGTGAGGGATGTTAGGATTCCCAACACTGCCTAAAAACAGATTTGTGAGTTGAATTTTCAAAAAATCATAACTTGAGCTATATAGCTCTGATTAAGGTGTGTGATACCTTTTTGGACATTACAGGAAATCGAACCGCACACCTAATACACACTAAACACACCCAACACCACTAGGCTATCCCTAGTGGTGCAAGTGTGTGATACCTTGTTGAAAATTTAATTGAGTCTAGATTAACATATTAAAAGATGAGAATTTTATAACAAGTATGTTGGACACAGAATGTAGAAAAAAGAAGCGTGTGCAGTAAAGGAAAACCGTAAAAGTGAGATTTAGGTAAAAAGGAATTTATGGGAACCCTTTGAACTTATAATAATTAATGTTCAAGGTTATGAATGACATATATTGATGGTAAATATCTTGATTAGTGGTAAGTTAAGTAAAAAATGCTTTAAGCTAAGAGAGTTTATTAAGGGACTAAATGCATAATGAGTTATTGTGGACTTAGTGAACAATTCCTTATGAACTAAAAACATGTAATTAAGTAATAAATGGTCTAGACTTGTAATGGACATATTATTGGCATATAAGTATGAAAAGTGGAACCATTAAATGGTTAAGTCTTGTATATGACTTGATTAATTACTATGTAATTAATAATGTGAATGGTTCCTACTCTAGGTGTGCCTAGAGAACCTTACACTTGAGGATTTATTGGAGCATACGTATTTTACTGTTGGAGTTGGGCTTGTGATAAGCTCAGTGAGGTAAGCTCCTGGTTCTGGTTGCTCCTCTCTCTTGTGGCCCCACCATGATGGTGGGCATTATGGTTATATTGTATGAAAGCATGTGGTATGATGTATATGTGCATTCATTCACATTCATATAGATGTTATATGATTCTTGATGATATGATGCACTGATGAGATATGTTATGAGGATCTTGGCCAGTGATTAAGGTATGTAGGCTGCCTATGACTTGACTCTGGGGGCTATTTCATACAGAGGTTATGTTGACTGTCTATGACTTGACCCTGGAGTCACACATGTGTAACCGTCTATGGCTTTGACCCTGGGGTTACACAAGGACGATATGATGATGCTATGTTTATGTTGTATGTTTGTTATATATGCTTTATATCTGACTTGTCATGCAGGAAGTGGGCTCAGGGGATTAGAGGATTCTCTAAGAACCTTGAGTTTACTGAGATGTGGTTATCTCACCCCGTTTGGGGACATCATTTCAGGTACCCAGAATAGCAATGTGCAGTATAAGGGCAAGGGCCCCGCCTTGGAATAGTTGATGGCGCTACTGATTATTTATATTATGACTAGACTCTGTGTTGGCATGTATAATCATTAATATGCCCAATTATCTTATGTTAAGATTATGTTATGTATTTACTTTGGCTCATGACTGTAGTATTGGAGTCGTGGATTATTTATTGATGCTTTGACGTTTTGAAATTTATATAGCCTTGATGTATGTATTCAGTTATTTGGATTTGCGAGCTGACTGTTTAATTATTGTATTTATCAGATAGTTATCCGAAATACAGCCGTTATGTTGTCTGCGAGACTCCATCAGGAATGATACTTAAGGTCATATCCGATGGTCAACGGCCACTAGTGATTGCCAATGGTTTTAATTAGTAGATTTAGATGTTAATGTCACGTTAATGCAATATATCAGATGAACGCTTGAATTAGGAGAGAAAGGAATTATTATGGAAAAGAGTGAAAATAAAAAATCACTAAAACATAGTCGTTTCACTATACAAAATTATATTCCTTAAAATGACAAGTGTTTTTCCCAATTATATATTGGGGATATAGTTTCTTATGTTGAATGGAACAAATTGTCTCATGCAATACACCAAAAAATAAGAGAAACCCATAAAGGAAAATAGAGATAAAGTAAACAAGTGGATCTCATTCATTTTTATTTTTAATTTTTTGTATTGTATGAGATAAAATGAGACAATTTTATTTTATGCAACATAAGAAACTATATATCCCTTTATATATTAGGACTTGTCAAATCTCTAGGAAATAACACTCTTGTTGCGGAGACAACAACTTCCACTGTTTTGGTTTTTTTTTTTTAATATTAATGGACCCCACACTTCAATGAGGGGTATTTGTTTCTACAGTAACGGGGGAAACAAATATCCCTATATATTATATGATAATGATTTCTTTTGTAATAAAGGAGTTAATATCATTTGAAATATGATCAAAATAAATTCTTAAAGAGTAATATATATTATTTCACTAACTACTTGTCATTTGATATTGGTTATGTCAATTATGATAATCTCTTTTTAAAATTTAATTATTTTGAACTTGCATTGACTATCTAAGCAGACAGATGAATACCTCTTGGAGATTACTTTGATATAAGAAAGACATAAAATTCTGGGGTGCCTACCTATTTGAAACGATATAAAAATACTTTGATACAAAATGTCAAAAAGTGAGTAAAAAACTACAAAACATGACTTTCACTTTACGTGTCTCTTCCGAGTAACACGGAAGGTTGGCAAAAATCTTGTTACAGAATATTGAAAACCAAAAAATCTAACAAGATTTTGGCAATCTTTCTTTTCTTCTTCATTACCAGCTTGTGAAGTTAAGTGACTCAAATAAGTTTTCCCCTGGTATATATAAGAGAGTTGCTGCCATAAAAGAACGCTCAATCCTATCTGCAATGAAACACTGGCAATGAATAGATAAGCAAGAACAAGTCCCCTAGAGGATAGAAGAAGAGCAGATCTCAGGAAGGCAATAAGAATTTCATTGATAACTCTCCATGCAAGATCAACGCTAGTAATCCCATTTAAGCCTTTAATGGAGTATGTCAATGTTGGCCATATATGCAAGCCTGCATATGCAGACATGATTGAGACATAGATTGTGCTCAACACTGCTGAAATCAGGAAGGCAATGAAGTTGCGGTGATTAGCTGCACCAACACAGTTCCCAATCTGCCAAACAATTACAAAGCTATTACCAAAGTAGCATTAACACAATTGTATCACTATATATAATTACCAATAAGAGCATTCACTATAACAAAGTCGATAGGTAGTGATTACAACTATGAAGCAAGAACACTGCTAACAGGAGTCATCTTCATGCCAAAAAATAATAGAAATTTTAGCAAGAACACTGCTAACTGTACATCAATTCATAGTGTTGAGATATAAAAAACCATTAATGTGACCTCACCCAACAGCTTAAGCTTTTGGGTTGAATTGGTTCTTTACATGGTATCAGAGCCTTAGTGTACCGGGTTCAATCATCACCGCCCCCACTTTCTTTCTAGTGGAATTTCTTTCTTCGCACAGATAGGTGGGCCTATGCATTGTCCACCCTTCAAGCCTAGTGGGCTTTCGTGTGAGGGGGCGTATTGAGATATATAAAACCATTAATGTGGCCTCACCCAACAGCTTAAACTTTTAGGTTGAATTGGTTCTTTACACACAAAATATAAGAGGAAAGGACAAAGAAGATCCTATGTAAAACACCAAAAGATTCAACAACTTGCAATTGAATCCCATTAAGTTCCAGTAACAATCCACCAAAATTAAATTTTTTTCCTCATCTAAATGGCATTTGTTAACATGTGCTGAAACAGTAAATTTAAGGTATAATAAGGTTTATTTGAGGCAATAAATAAATTGAATTTTATATTAGTTTTGCCAAAAACAAATGACTATTTAAAATACTTTAATTTCAAATGTTGACTTTTTGCATTCACTTGAGGATTGATTTTTATAAACTACATTTAATTAATTTAAAAAAAATGTGCATTTTACTAAAACGAGTGCATTTAATGCTCCAGAATCTATCAAAATATATAAATTATACATAAAAAGAATAATAACTACTTTTCAAAGTTGAAAAACCATAGATCAAAACTTTGCAAAAAGATAAAATGGACGATGCTGTCCATGAAAACATTCCATGACAATATAATAACCACTTGATTTTTGTTACTGCAAAACAGTTCTATAATGGAATAACCACTTAAATAGATGCCCTGTCCAAAAAATTATCCAATCATATTCTCCCATGCATTCAACAATTACATTCTTCCTCAATAAAGCTTTCCAGATGCCTTTAAAGGTCTGTTCTGTTGGCTCTAAAAAAAAAAAAAATACACCCAACATAGGACAGAGAAGGCTAGAACACCAAAGGAATAAAAGAATTATACCCCCCAACCCCAAAACAAACTCCCATGGGCAAGAATTTGTTGCATTGACTGCAGTTCTTGCATACCACATCATTCTAGGTCCAGAAGATCTCATGGCATACAGAATTTGAATTTAGAAAGGAAAAAAGAGAGGCCATAAACGCTAGCTAAGGCAACGTTTTTTAAGACCCCAAATTTCCAAGACCTACTCTTTAGTCGTGCAACCTTTTTGGTCTTTGAGCAGGGTATCTCTCCACAAGTATTGCTGTGATGCTATTCCCATGGGCATTATTGTGACTAGAAGGCCCTTCTCTAGGGTTTGAACTTAGGTTAGGTCCTCTCCGTGGAAGTGCAGCTTGCTTAACACCGCACCCATAACACACTTCCAACCCGTTACCAAATCAATCTCTCATAAGCTTCTCTATTCTATCACTATCAGCAAGTTCAACAGAAATCCTTCTATGAGACACAAAGAAGTTTTCTTTTTTCTTTTTGTTTGGATAAAATAAAATAAGAGACAATGACAAGTAATATACGTGAATACTAGATAAAGAGGCCTGGATAAGAACAATAAGAGCACCAAGGAGAAAGAAACACCTATCTACCATTCAATCCAAACATTATAATTGAACCTTTGAGCCCTTAAGCATCATAAATCCATAACTATGAAGCTGTAAAACTCAACCATAAGTTACACTAGGAAGACTCCTGAGTTGTTCCCGCATTAGCAGCTAAAGATTAGCTTCATCTGTTTCCTTTTAACATTGATTTCTATAAACAATCCTTATATAGGAAATTGCTTTAAGATATATTTTTATTATTGATGAATAAGGAACACAAATAAAAAATTAAATCATGAGATTACAGCCAATAATAGAACTGAGATCCACACAAAGTATACAGCCAAAAACAGCAAAAGGCAAACCCCAGTACACAAAGCTTTTCGACTTTGCGAGGGTAGAAATGAGAATCGATTGGATGCTGCTTTTACTCTTGCACTTTTTGCAAAGAGACTATTTCCTATACTCAAACCCGTGACTTTCTAGTTACAAAGGAACAACCTTACCGCTGCTCAAGACTCATCCTCACATACAGCCAAAAGCAGCTAAACTTAATATTTAAACCTAATGATCCATCATCCATTATAAGATGTTATACAGTTAAGGATGGCATGCATCAAATTACTATATAAACTAAAAACTCAGTGAAGATTACACCACTGACATTGATAATTCCATAATTAGAAGATGATGGAAACTTACGAATGGGCAGTGATGATCCATGTCCAATATACATTTTCTGCATGAACGACAATGATGAGCTCTAGGTGACTTTGGCTTCAAGCAGTAATGACAGAAAGTATAATTTTCAAGGTCGCCTTTTCCTACAGTGGGGTAGCTTCCCCACAATATATTTGGTGGTGTGCCAGCACACCTGAATGCTGCAAGGCTGAAAGAGGAAATGGTAGCTATGGACAAGATTGCTGTAATGATTGAGTGAAAACTTCCCAAAAGAAGACTGATAGAAAAGAGAACAGGATAGATTGCCCACACCCCACCAACTGCACAAAAAATTTAAATGCATAAGTATAGAATAATGCAGTTCTTCATTTTTGGTAGAATGGATGAATGTAAAAGATTATGATGATAACAGATATCACAATAATACATGTAATGAAGAACCATTGATAACAGGAACACTGAACCACAAAAATGATCTTTTAAAATTTGACTTAAATAGGGAGAAAAACAGAAAATCATAAGCAAAAAACGAATTCTTTAGCACTACAAGCACATGATGAGCACCAACTACAACTGAAATATAAACATCTGATTCATACTTTCATTCAATAGCCAATCCAAACTTTTTCTGTGCTATATCCATAGACTAAGACCATGCTCAGGTTTTGAATCATACCAACAAGGCTTGAAGTTCCTCATTTTTACAAGCTATAAGAAAGGAGACCTGACAGTTATCAAGAATCTAACAGTACCTACTAAAGTGATGCATTATGATTTCAAAATTTTAATAACAGAAAATACAATGTTATAAAGAGGAGTTAACAAACGAAAAAAGACCTGACACAGTGTGCTCAAAGTAACTAAAGATGAAGACTTTGATCACAATGTATGAAGGCTAATAATTCAGGGATCAGAGGGTTCCCAAAGAGGATGACATTACTTGACCAAAGAACAGTAGAAAGGATTTTTTTATTTTTATGCCTCTGTCATTCTTATGGCGTTGGACAACTGGAAAAGATATTTATCATGAAAGTAGGTAACTGTCAAAAATAAAAACCATTCTTGTGCCACTTCCTAACAGCTTAAAATTTTAGGAGAATTAATGAATTTTAGCACGGGCTATGGTACGCTATGCTCTGTCCACATTTCAAGCCAAAAGAGCCTTCTTATGTGGGGGCAAGTTAGAAACAAAAGAAAATTCATAGCCCTCTACCTAAAAGCTTTGGACCTGGATATCAACTCTGCATACACACAATGCACCAGGCTGAGCAACTTCCTAATGGAGAAGCTCGACAGGGAAATTATACTATCTAGAGCTAAACACTATGAGCAAGGATTTCAGGAGAATATCGGCAGGAGAGATTGGATTAATTTCCTAGCTTTGTAAAGGCCTCACCTTTTATATAAATATGTAACTACATTTTTCTGTGCAGATTTTTCCAATGAGTTCAAATAGTTAAAGAAAGCATATCAATTGTTTGAGGAATTCCCTAGCTCATTAGATGAAACAATGTAATGAAATCATCTTGTTAAGTCCTTACGGGCATATATAATCACAATCTGGTCCTCATTGCAAATTAGTGAATAGAAATTGAAGGTCAATTAAAATTACAAGGAATGGTATATCCACTCAATACAGACTAAGTCTGTAACCGAGTTATTCAGAATTTACCGACTTAAATATTAGATTCAAATAAGATATCTTTCCAAATTGTTAAGGCTCAAAATAACTTATCTTGTGAGCACTGTAAGATGTCCTACATATGTGTTAGAGATAAATAATACATAGTAAAATCATTAATATGACCTTCACTTAACAACTAAAACTTTTCGATCGAATTGGTTTTTTACTTTACATCATCTCACTCTAAAGATCATCTAGAATGATTTTCAGCCAAACAATTCACAAATAACTTGAGTCATGGCTGCTCGAAATTCTGCCTCTGCACTTGATCTAGTAACCACGGTTAAGTGAAGGTCACACTAATGGTTTTATATATTATATCTCGAACAATATCTACACATTATTCTTGCCTACTCTAGAAGCTGAATTGATTAGACAAAGCACAGAGAGAATGTCTTTCAAATAGAATTTAAAATATGGAGGGTCAAATTCCATCTCATAAAAATATGGAGTTGGCAATTTCTAATTAGAAATCTAGTAGAGAAGGAAATAGGAATTTTGGTAAAAAATTAATGAAGTATAGCATGAAAGAAAATTATGATATTTCGTGTTGTAAATATTAGGTCTTTTATTATTATTAGTATTTGTTGTATTGGGCCAAGCCCATTAGGTCAAGAATTAGGGTTTTTGGTCTCTATAAATAGAGACCTCTTTGTATCATATTAATTCACAATTCAATAATATTTCAAATACCCTTTTCTTTCAAGTTGGTATCAGAGCTCTCGATCCTGAGGGCTCTGCTTCCGCGCCTACGAAACCTTTCTATTCTTTTTTACGTCTCTCGCTGCCATCAGCTGCCACCGGAAATTTTTTTCCGGGGACCTCTTGGACCGAGAAGACCATTGCTTCACTGTTCCTCTTTCTTTTTCTTGTCTATTACACAACCAGAAACAAACGTTCACAGAATCAACGTACAGAACCTGTTCATCGCGATTGGAACCTTTTTCCGGTGGATTCTTCACTCCGAACAGCCACAGAAACCATCGCGCTCGCCGGACGACCTTCGCCTGAAAAACCCAGCACCATCGGAGGTCAGACGCGCCTCCACGCGCCGCCCTTGTCTCTGCGCGTGAATCCCACGCGCCGCCAGCTTCACCGGCGCGTGACAGCGCGTGACGGTGGTTCTCGGCCGCGGACCACCACGGTTCTGATCGTCTCTCCAAGCCGGTTCTGGATCTGTGCTCTCTACTTTGATCGGACATCGTTTGGTATTTTTTTTTCAGAATTTCTTGGCTTCTTGGAGTTTGTTCTTTCACCAATTTCTTGCCTCCGACCAGATCTGACGTTGTTTGGTATTTGTTCCGGTCACTGTGTTACTGTTTCGGCCGCTGTGTTACTGTTCCGGTCAGATCTGACGTTGTTTAGTATTTGTTTGTGATTTTGTGGCTTCTTGGAGCTTTTCTTTGACCATTTGCTGTGCAGTATGGCCTCTTCTCAAAGGAGTTCTTTTTCAAAATTTTATGATGGCACCTCTTCTAGACCTAAGAGAAATGATCGATGGTGTTCTTATTGTAAAAGAACAGGTCATATCAAGGATTTATGCTTTCGCCTTTATGGAAAGCAAACTGACTTAGAAAAGATGGCAAGGATGCGTGGTCAAGCGCATTTTACTTCTTCTGAAATAACCCCTGCACCTAATGAGACCCAATCTGCATTTCGTCCAGATGAGTTGGAACGACTCCGAACCATTCTTGATTATCTGAGCAAGCCATCTGATACTAGTGCTTTGGCTATGACTGGTATGAGCTCCAAAACTCATTCTTTCATTTCTTCATGTAATGATTTTAAACATTTTTGGGTTGTTGATTCTGGTGCTACTGATCATATGGCTTGTTGTGCTGACTCCTTTATTTCTTATCATCCTACCATTGGAACTCATACAATATCCATAGCTGATGGCTCACATACATCAGTTGCGGGTTCTGGTGACATAAACTTACAGCAGTCCTTACATCTTAAGGATGTTCTTCATGTTCCTAAACTCTCCACGAATCTTCTTTCTATTCACAAAATTACAAAAGATTTGAATTGTACTGTAACCTTCTTCCCTACCCATTGTGTTTTTCAGGATCTCGCCACGGGGAAGACGATTGGTAGTGCTAAAGAGCAAGGTGGGCTGTACTATCTGGTGTCACAATCTCCCGCAAATAAAGTAATAGATCACACATTCATGTCTCATGGTCAATCAACTGCTGATTCTTTAATTTGGCTGCATCATAAGCGTTTGGGTCATCCTCCATTTAGTTTACTCAAATCTTTATTCCCGTCATTGTTTTTGTCTAAGTCTGTTGAGTCTTTTCATTGTGATGTTTGTGAATTTGCTAAGCATCATCGTGTGTCTTTTCCTTCTAGTATTACTAAGAGTGTTGAACCTTTTGATCTTATTCATTCTGATGTTTGGGGTCCTTCTAAGGTCCCTCATTCTTCTGGAAATAAATGGTTTGTTTCTTTTATTGATGATTACACTCGTGTCACTTGGGTTTACTTAATGCGTGAAAAGTCTGAGGTACCACAACTGTTTTTTCAATTTTATAAAATGATTGAGACTCAATTTTGTAAAAATATCAAAAGACTAAGGACAGATAATGGTACTGAATATGTCAATCACTCTTTTTCCCAATTTATACAAAATCAAGGTATGATTCATGAACTTACTTGTGTAGACACCCCTCAACAAAATGGGGTTGCTGAAAGGAAAAATCGTCACCTTCTTGAAGTTGCTCATGCCTTACTGTTTCAAACACATGTACCCAAATGCTATTGGGGAGATGTCATTCTTACTGCAGCGTTCTTGATCAATCGTCTACCCACTCGGGTTCTCGATCATGTAAGTCCTATTCACTCCATGACTTCTTTTTTTCCTTCTGTTCCAACTTTGCAAAGTCTTCCTCCTCGAGTGTTTGGGTGTGTTGTCTTTGTTCATATTCATAAACAGCATCGCAGTAAGTTGGATCCTAGGGCTCTTAAATGTGTCTTCCTTGGTTATGCTCCTGATAAGAAGGGCTACAAGTGCTATCACCCTGGAAGTCGGAAATTTTTTGTTTCTATGGATGTTACATTTCAGGAATCTGAGTCCTTTTTCCAAGGTCCTCATCTTCAGGGGGAGAATAATTCACCAGAAGACTCATCACCTTCCTTCTTTGAATCTTCAGTGTCTACTCCTTCACCTGTGTCAGTGTCTCTTCCTCTTGTTCCTGTTCCTAATGTGTCTATGTCTGATCCTCCTGTGACTGATCCTCCTATGACTGATACATCAAATACACCAGAGATACGGAAGATTGTAACACCTGAATTGGTATATCAAAGAAGGAAACAGCCCACATTGCCTCAACAGCAACCTCAATCGTCTGAACCACTGGTAAGTCCTGAATCTCATATTTCTGATCATGATGTTAATACGTCTGATGACTTACCCATTACTACTGTTTCTGATGACTTACCCATTACTACTGCTTCGGATGATTTACCCATTGCTTTAAGAAAAGGAAAAAGATCTTGTTCCAAGAAAACTTGTTCTTCCTGTCCCTTTTGTACTTAATACCCTATCTCCCATTTTGTTTCCTCTGCTAATCTTTCTGTGCAGCACAAAAGCTTTGTTTCAGCACTAGATTCTACTTCAATCCCAAAATCAGTACATGAAGCTTTGAAAGAGGGGAATTGGGCTCAAGCCATGCAAGAGGAGATGAATGCGTTGGAGAAAAATAAAACATGGGAGGTTATTGATAGACCCAACGGAAAGAAAGCAGTAGGGTGCAGATGGGTTTATGCCCTGAAATATAATTCTGATGGCACTCTTGAGAGATACAAGGCTCGATTAGTCGCCAAAGGTTACACTCAAACCTATGGCATTGATTATGAAGAAACCTTTGCTCCAGTTGCAAAGATGAATACAGTGAGGATCTTGTTGTCCCTTGCTGCCCATTACAAGTGGGATATAAATCAATTTGATGTGAAAAATGTTTTCCTCAATGGTGAGTTAGAAGAAGAAGTCTACATGGAAATCCCGCCTGGTTTTGATTCTGTGAAGGGGGAAAATAAAGTTTGTCGATTAAAAAAGGCCTTGTATGGATTGAAACAGTCACCTCGTGCTTGGTTTGGAAGGTTTACTAAGGTTATGATGACCTTAGGATATAGACAGAGTCAAGGAGATCACACTCTTTTCTTCAAGCACTCCCAAAATGGGAAGCTTACTGTGCTCCTTGTATATGTTGATGATATTATTATCACAGGTGATGATTTTGTGGAGAGACAGATTCTGCAGACACGACTTGCCTCTGAGTTCGAAGTCAAAGACCTTGGGAAACTAAGATATTTCCTAGGGATAGAAGTAGCTCATTCAAGCAAAGGAATTTTTATCAGTCAGAGGAAATATGTTTTGGATCTTCTCAAAGAAGCAGGGAAGCTCGGGTGTAAACCCTCTAATACTCCTATTGAGCAGAATCACAAGATAGGCTTTGAAGAGGAGAGTCCTCCAGTTAATAAAGGACAATATCAACGGCTAGTTGGAAAATTGATATATCTGGCCCATACTAGGCCAGACCTAGCTTATGCTGTTAGTGTTGTCAGTCAGTTTATGCACGATCCAAAGGAGAAACACATGCAGGCAGTAGAGAGAATTCTTCAGTATCTTAAAGCTACTCCTGGTAAAGGATTGTTATTCCGACGTGATGGTAATCTCTCTTTAGAAGTCTACACTGATGCTGATTATGCTGGATCCGTGACTGACCGTCGTTCTACCACTGGTTATTGCATGTTTCTTTGCGGTAACTTGGTGACATGGAGAAGTAAGAAACAAGATGTGGTTGCCAGATCAAGTGCAGAAGCTGAATTTCGAGCTATGGCTCAAGGCATTTGTGAGTTACTGTGGCTGAAAATTGTACTTGATGATCTCAAAATAAAATGTGAGGGACCTATGAAGCTGCTATGTGATAATAAGTCCGCTATTTGTATAGCTCATAATCCAGTTCAACATGATCGGACTAAACATATTGAGGTCGACCGCCATTTCATCAAAGAGAAACTTGATAGCGGGTTGATTACCACTCCATACATTCCCACTGGGCGTCAATTAGCTGATCTATTGACAAAGGGACTTCCTTCAGACAGATTTCAAGAACTTACTAGCAAGCTGGGAATATAAATATCTATTCCTCAGCTTGAGGGGGAGTGTTGTAAATATTAGGTCTTTTATTATTATTAGTATTTGTTGTATTGGGCCAAGCCCATTAGGTCAAGAATTAGGGTTTTTTGTCTCTATAAATAGAGACCTCTTTGTGTCATATTAATTCACAATTCAATAATATTTCAAATACCCTTTTCTTTCAAGTTTTCGGAATAGAAAACAGGAATTCTTCGTAATTATATTCCATCTTACAAACAATTAACTCAAGAAAGGCCTAATGAATAATCACAAATTACAACCACTTCAGTTACTAATTATTCCTAAATTAAAGATAATTCCATAATGAATTCATTTTTGGTGATTTTCTCATATGCTTTCAATAGAAGATGATATTAGTATTGGAAAGATGGAAAAAAACCAGAAGTAATATGATAGTCCAAGGAATGTCAAGAGTTTTTTTAAAAAATTTGCTATTGCATCTTATATGGGATAAATTATCCTCTTGAGTCTTGTCATCTTCAAGATACTGATCCAATTTTTACTTTAGAGGGGTTTCTTTGGTAGAGATGCAAAAAATTGGTTAAGTTCGTTTTAGCTAATGTGTCTTTCTTCTTTGCTCTGGCTTTTCTGAATTATGTTGGTTGTATTTTCTTTTCAATCTGCATGTCTCATACTCAAAACCCATTGATCCCATTAAATATTTGTAAGAGAAATCCCCTAAACTACAATGACCAAAACGCTACTTGGTAGGAAGTGAAAAATTCTACACCAGCAACTCTCAATTTGAATGTATCAATCAAACCTTTGACACTAAAAAGACATTTGATTAAATAAGTAGTCAGGAAGAGAAAAAAATGGAAAAGGAGGGAAAATTTGAAAATGAACCTAGACTCGAAAATAAAAGCAAGTCCGGTCATAAAGGATGACAAGTAAAAGCAGAAAACAGCAGGAACAAAAAGAGGCTTACATATTACAAAGAGCATAAATATGATGACAACAGAAACAAAGCATCGATCACGCAGTACCCTCCACCTGAAGCCCTTCTGGTCACGTTTCTGTGTGTTTTGATCTGTAATGGCCCCACACCAGCCACATTTGAAGACAGATGCACATGATGGAATCAAAACGCTCAGTCCACAACCCCAGCATGTTGTCTCATAATTATCGGTAACCTCAGTTACATATTGCTCCTATATGTGACTTACATGAGCAACCAAGGAAGCTACAAAATTTTCAAACTGTAGAAAAAAAAGGCAGGCAATAATAGCCATGAAGTCATCTATTTACTAAATGACTGAGACTGAGAAAATCATAAGGGCTAAGTAATACAGACATCCAAAATCATATGATTTCCAAAGTTGGATATTCCAATTACAAGTAAAAGAAGCACATAAAAATACACCTATGTATACTAGCTTATTTAGATTGACTTATGTCCTACAAATGTTGAACATGTAGTGTGGTAGAAAATGTGGAGTAGAAAACTTGGAATCGAAAGAACCTTCTACTATTTTTATACAACAAAAATGGGGTTCGGTTTAGAGTCGATATGAACTCATTTTGGTATCTCCATCCAAAGAATGTATGTTAGCCAAAATTAGTTTCCACCCTCTAGCAACAATGAAGAACAGAAAATCAAACCTTTCCATCCAACCCCATTTTCACTCTATTCTCTGTTCTCCACCTTCTCTAACAACCACTTCAACGGTTCGTGTTATCATCATGTGACCCGGAGGTCACACTTTTGATACATGCAATCATCCTCATATAGTCATATGTAAGTGTTCTGTTTAAGGATTATGAGAATGAAGTACAAGGATAATGGTTGTTCCCCACATAGGGAATAATATGTCAATATAACAGTAGTCCAAGAGAGATGGGATATGAAGAATCAAATCTCTTACGGAAGTCTGGGAGTGCTAGAACTCAGGAGACTTCTGAGAGGAGGTATGTGTTGAGGCACTGGAGAGGCAGAGTAAACGATTGGGTGGAACTAGGAGAACTGAGATCCCTCAGCCATGGTGGTGAGGCTATTTATATAAGGAGGAAGGAGAAAGGAGGTGGGAGTGGTTCCATCTTCTACACTATGTATGAGTAAAGACTCTTGCCGGAGTCGTTAAGAACCCATGATTCTCTACCAACTGTCATGCCTATGTGGGCACTACGTGGTGCATAGGTCAAGCGCTCTCCCCGGGTTGTGAGGCGTGTGTGCAAGGGAAATGAGGGATGGACCAAAGCTTTGGGCTTGAAATGTGCCTTAGGAAAAAGGTCCAGGCAGCCGGACCAGAACAGTCAGGTAAGGCTACCAACTAGATCCTTCCCTGGACCTTGCACAGAGACAAAGCTTTATGGCACCAGGCTAACCCTTTTTAAATTTCCTATTGATCCCATCATATAACTTTCTTGGTAATCCTAAATCATTCACCCTCAAAAATGAAAAGTGCATTGGAGAATGAAGTACCTAGATTGCTTCATACCAACCTGTTTATCATTAAGTCATTTAACATTTGGCGTTCATTTCAATTTAAAAATTCATCATCCACGTCTCCAATTACACTCAATACAATACAGTTGCAAAAGCGTATCATAGAGGACCACATCAAATAACATAACTACCCATAAAACAGAAACACAAAAGAGATGAAAAAAAAAAAAAACCTTTTTTCCGTTTTCCCTACCAATATTTTAGTAGCTGTAACAGTCAAGAGAATAAATGCAAGCCACTACCAACATAACAACAACCAAAATAAATATACACAAATAAATTGAATCAACGAAATAACATAGTCTCAGTCAGATATAATGAAAATAATGGTTTGACTAAAGAAAATTGATCTAGGAAGCGATAACGATCGATAAAACATCAAAAGAACAAAAAAGATAAATAAATAAATAAATAAGACAATCAAACCCAGAAAAGAGAAACATGAAGAGATCGAAAAAAGAAAATTCATATGTGGAACCAACCTTGGGCGAAGAAGAATCCATGACAGTATCGCTTTGGTTTGGGAAAATGGAAGCTAACTTTGACCACAATCTTGAAGAATGTGTATGTGTATGTGTATGTGAATGTGGGTTTATAATTTTGTATTTTGTTTTGTATTCGATTTGGACAAGTAACGGTTCGGTTCAAGCTAAACCGGGTCCAAACTTACCCTTGATAAACCTGTGATGCAGTCGAATTTTGATCTTAGTATTTATCGGGATAGGTTATTCTACTTATTATTTTTTCTGTTTTTCTTTGTCTACCATCTTTCAACACCGTTAAATCAGAATCTCAAGAAGAGAGAGAAAGATAAATGTGAGTTAAGATTCTGATCTAACAGTGTTAGAGGATGGTAGGCAAAGATAGACAGAAAAAATGATAAGTAAAATAACGTATCTCATATTTCTCATGTAGTACGAGATAAATTTGATCTCTTACGTACAGAAAAATATTTCTGCAGTTAATACAAATAAGTTACCTGCATTTATTGTCAAAACGACGTCGTTTTAGAATTGAAAGATTAAAAAATTATAATTACAGAGACTATAATAACCCTGAAATAAATTAAAATTACAAAAACACTATGATTTCCGTCTTAAAACGACGTCGTATTGGGCTTATTGCAGATAACTTATCTGCAGTAACTGCACAAAAAGCGAACTCTATATAAAAATAAATGGGATCTATATTTTCTTTTCTTCTCTCTTTTGTTCATATGGCCCGATATGTACTTCACATATTTTTATGTTAGGAGATAAAAAATATTAATCCCTTAAATTTTAGTTGACAACGTTTATTAGATGTTTAATGGATAAATGTTGTTAACCAAAATTTAACTCATTGATAATCAGGCAAGGCCCAAGTGTGGTTTCTTTTGTGCAGATGAAGCATTTTTTCCAAAGATTGAAATAGAGTAATATAATTAATTATAAGAACTTAACAGAGGAATCATGTTAAAATAGAAATAAATGCATGGTGAGAAAAAATGATTCTAAAGATTCATACAAATACAGTAATATTTGAAATTAGATGCATATGATATTTCATGTTCAAATTTTGTAAAGTTTAACATTTTCCCTCTTCCTTCTAATAAAAATAAGAGTATTATTTTGGAGCGATTTAATATGCCTAATCTCAGGGTTGGTTGGTCATTAAGGTCCATCAAAGAGATTGAACTTTTGCACATTTAAGTGAGATAAATATTTTCCTCTCTTGTGTACATGCATCTCACATCCAAGTGACGACAAGTTATCTCGGTTGTTTGGGGCTCATAAGGGCAAAAATGGTTAGACTCAAGTAGGGATGAAATTGAATCAGATCGGCCTACAGGGATCTACGGCTCGACTTACGTCAGGTTAGACTTGACTTAGTATATTTTACAAGGTCTGGTCTATAAGCCTACAGGCTAGGTAGCACCGATACGACACGCGACACGTGACACGACACGACACGACACTCCGACACGTCAATCCTAAAAAATTATGGATTTCGACACGTTGGGACACGTTTTAATATTAAATAATATTTTTAATTTATATAGGGTATATTTCATTTAATATTTAATAATTTAACAAAAAATGAAATTAAATTAATAATACCCATCAACACGTTATAAAGATGGAAGCTTTAATAAAATAAATAAGAACTGAGATGAGAGAGATATATAATATCAGATAGAGAGATCAAATCATATTAGAGAGAGATCAAAGAGAAGAAGATACAACAAGAGCGTGATAGGAATTGACAACAATGATGTTGAGATGATCTCTTATCTACTTAAGGGGAAAAAAGACAAAAAGATAAAATTAATATGATCAGGTGGAAGCTTTATTAATATATTTTAACTTTTAAAAAAATAAATTTTTTTAAAAAAATAATTTTTTTTAAAAAATTAAAAAAAATTACGAAAATGCCATTTGACCGTGTCGGACACGGTCAAATTCGCGTGTCGGAATGGTCAACGTGTCGAAAAAAGTCAACCGCGTGTCCGACACCGTGTCGGAGCATGTCGCCGTGTCGGACCCGACTCTTCCTATTTTTACAAGTGTCTGTGCTTCCTTGCCTACAGGTCAGCCTATATTGTATTATTTATTTTAAATAAAATAAAATAGAATAAGTATGTCTTAAAGAAAAAATAAAAGATATAAATTCAATCAATTGCTGTTATTTATAATTTAATTATATTCAATTATATTTTAATAGAAATCTGACTTTATTTCTTATGTCGGAGGAGTCAACATCTCAACATATTAGATTGTGTATATGAATATATTAAAAGATTTTTGGGAGAGATTATACTTATTACAAACATCATGATGTGTTTGTTGGATTCATGTAGTTATTTTAATTTACATATAATGGATTTATTTGTTGGATCTGATAAAATATATGTTATTTAGTTTGATCATTGATTTTGAAAATGACTTAAATGCAGATTGTATGATTTTTGTTGTGATTCATGATTCTGTTTGGACGTTGAAATTATGATTTTTGGTTTAGCAACCGAATTTGAGTATTTTGTAAAGTTTGATTCATGGTTCTGCTTTGAAGTTAAAAATTAACATGCTAACGAGTTAGGTCAGACCATTTGTTTTTTTTATAAATGGGTCAAGCAGGTTAACAGTTCGACTCATACTAGGTTTGGGTCAGGCCAAATTAAAATTTTTTGGCGTAAGTTTGAACTTTTCGAGACAAAGTTTGGCTCAGCCCAACCCACTTCCACCTCTAGACTCAAGGGATCTTCACTAGGGGTGTTCATCAACCGATCCAAACCGATTCAAACCGCGGTAACCGAACCGAAAAACCGAAAACCGAAAAATTGAAAACCGAAAAAAAATCGCAAATTTTAATTGGATTAGATTGATTTTTGGATGGGTTGATGAAAATCGATCTAATCCAAACCGATCCAATATATTAATTCCCCTCTACCTACTTGGGTCTTTATCTAATCATAGCCTAAAAATTTCTAAACCCAAGACCCGTTAACCTATTAACTAAACCCAAGAAAAAATCAAGTCATATCTCATTAACTAAATTTTATCTTTGTAGAGCTTCATATCACATTACAAAAAAAAAATTATATTATAGTTTACTAATGCTTTTGTATTTCAAAATGATAATAATTTACAAAGCCAATATATACAATATATACAAAAGATGTTATTTGCACAATAATCATGAAAGAAATTTAAGATTTTAAGAAAACCGAAAACCGATCTAATCCAAACCGAAAAAAATTGGATTGGATCGGATCGGATTTGAAAAAAAATCCAAAACGAATGAGTGATTATATGATCAAACCGAAGAGATTGGATTGGATGATTTTTGCTTCCAAAACCGATCTAATCCAGACCGCGGACACCCCTAATCTCCAAACGTATAAAATACTCATATTTTCTATTGAAGAGACACATTTTACATAGACATTCTTTTTATTGTTATTCTATCAGATTACAGCCATCGTGCCTTCACACATCCCCTGATTCTCAGTGTTTGCATGAAACCTTTATATTGATGACTCATTTGTTGAGCTTAGGTTCATATCTCCGTTTTACTTTATCTTTATCAATAATAAATTGATGTACTCTACCCTTAAAAAAAGTAGGAAACAAATCTATTCCTATCACAAACAGTTCAAGTATATAGTCAATTAAAAAAAGTATCTAAATCGACTATGAGATAATCTTAGAGATATGTTATAAATAAATTTAATTAATTACGATATTAATTTATATAATCTAACTACATTATAATTTTCACTTTTGACCAAATTATTGTATAAAAATTATATTTTTCGTATTGCAAGAGATAATTTAAAATTATTTCCTACATACGTATAAAAGTAGGTGAGGTCCATATTTTATTTTTATTTTTCTTCTTCTCCCAGGAAGCCCATAAATCTCATATACTTTTATTTGTGTATAGGAGATAATTTTATCATGTATAAATATGAAAAATATTAATCTCAAAAACCAACACACAAAAGCCTAACGTTGTCAAATGGCCCAATGAAAAAAAAAAAAACAAAGAAGTTTGGCCAATTTAATTCATGTTAAAATATTTAATTTTGTACCTTGACGTCCAAAATTATACGTGCTAAACTTGTTATCGTAAGCCCATTCGAGTATTCGACAAGACCACAGCCCCCATTCAATGGACTTGACCCTATTAATCTTGAAAACATGTCACTTTAAAGGAATTTAAAGGTATAAACACCTGATAGCACATTTAATCATACCTAAATAACTCAATCTCTAGGAGTTATCAATCATCTTTCGAAGTCTTGCATTAAATCAGAAGCTGTGGAAACAATGCAAGGCCAGCAATTATGCCTCCGTTGGCAAAGACTGTGAGCCCACTATGTACCATTGAGGGTAATGTTATTATATAGATTACACCACTAGCTGAGGTCAAGACCAGGCTAGAAGGTATAGTTCCAAGAGGTAGCAAGTTGATATCAATGGCAGATAAATAACAAGAGTATGACTTCTAAGTAAATGGGCATAACAACAGTACATAAAAGATATCTGGTGGTGTGTCCCCTAAGGGCTATTTATAAGGAAGATGATGCGGGTTGGTGAGGTGGGGGTCAACCCTTCTTGGGGTGCACACCCATGATGGCAGTGTTAGGCGTGGTTGGCGCTGCCACAATGGCAGTGCTGCAACCACTGCACTCGGCGATGTCAGCGCTGAACAAAGGGGCAGGTTCCTTTGCAGTGCTTATGGCGACTGCCTTTAGCGGTTAATGTCCCGAAGTGGGACATTTTGGTGTATCTCTTGGACGTGCTGCAGTCTTGGAGATCGCGAGGGCCTACGTCAGCCCTAAGGGCTGACGCGGAACAAGGCTGGGGTTGGGCTTGAGTAACTGGGCCAGCTGAGGGTTGGGCCTAGGGGTGTTCATCAACCGATCCAAACCAATTCAAACCGCGAAAACCGAACCGAAAAACCGAAAACCGAATAAACCGAAAACCGAAAAATCGAAAACCGAAAGAAAACCGCAAATTTTAATTGGATTGGATCGGTTTTCGGATGGGTTGATGAAAACC